TATATATATATATAAACTAGACAAACCTTATGGTTGTACGGCAGTGAAGCATCAGTGGCAACACTGATGTTGCTGTCATTGATGATGATGATAATGATGATGATGGGGAAGTTTTTGGACAGTTTATTGTACACCCTAACTCAATCGCAGTTAAATTCAGTTTAGTTTAGTTTCACGACCCTGACCAGTGTGCGAATGGGCTTCAGTTCGGGTTTCCGCAGCTTATGGTAGCGGGTGGTGGGTGACCGAGGGAGTACAGAACGGCATTTGAAAGAATGAAAGCCGGCTCGATTATGAAAAACAGAAATGATACAACATCACCTTCGATTGCGTGCCACCACCATTTCGGTGAGTATCTTCCTCCTTAATAACCCGATCCCACAGACGACGTGTACCAGAGCGGCCCAGGCGCTTCTCTTATGTTCCCCATCTTCCATCTCTGGTTGGAGCCTGCCTTAGCAAGGCAAATTCATTGGGAGCACTTGGGGCAGGATGAGAACTCGAGACAGTTCAGTGGTTAAGGCGTACACTTACTGGCCGGGAGGTCCGTGGCTGAAACCCAACCCAAGCATCTCGGCTGCATCTGTCTAGGATTGGGCAACCTGCATTGTCTCAGCCCTTGTGGTTCTTTCGGATGGCAGCCTGACACCGAAAGGGTGTCACATTTGAACGATTATTTACATGTATTATTACAAGTTCATAAAAACGGGTCTCTGTGAGCGGAATGCGGTTTCTGCTAACGATGATAAAATGGCGGCTATGAGATTTCTCCTGTCCATTTTCTTCCAAGGAGACAGTTCAGTGGTTAAGGCGTACACTTACTGGCCGGGAGGTCCGTGGCTGAAACCCAACCCAAGCATCTCGGCTGCATCTGTCTAGGATTGGGCAACCTGCATTGTCTCAGCCCTTGTGGTTCTTTCGGATGGCAGCCTGACACCGAAAGGGTGTCACATTTGAACGATTATTTACATGTATTATTACAAGTTCATAAAAACGGGTCTCTGTGAGCGGAATGCGGTTTCTGCTAACGATGATAAAATGGCGGCTATGAGATTTCTCCTGTCCATTTCTCTTCCAAGGTTTCGTAATCTACATTTCATCACCGCTCTTTTACCATGAATCGAACGGATTCGGACTTGCTACTGTCCGACTTGGAGAACAGCATGGATACACTTCCAGGGACTCCGTTGAGTAGGTGTGTGGATGCAGATCTCGACCAGAATTCGGGCCAGGTAAGGTGTGTCGATCACATAAATCATACTTTTTTTGACTGTAGGGCGATTCCCAACCCACAACAACACAACCCTTGACGAGTAGCCGCCGCGATGCTCGTATCAAATCGGAAACTATGCTATCTCGCGTTGCCTCTTTCGCCAGTATTACCGAACCGGTGTCCATGGAAGAGATATTCGAGTACGATTGGGCCGACAGTGACTCTGAATCTCCAAACGATAAAAACAAGGAATCCTACATGGTACAGGAGCTGTTGGCGGACTATTTAAAGGTTAGGTCGAACTCACCGCGTCATGCTCAACCTGCGTTTTCGTCTGTATTTGTTGACGAATATAAACGATATTGGTGTATACGTTATTCGCTTCCACGCTTAACATAGACGTGTGAAGTTTAAGCTCCCTACGAGTGAAATCACCTACGGGTCTCACGGGGACGCTTTTGAGATGTGGCAACTGAATGCTCATTAAGTTCACCAGCTTACTTAAAATTTTTTTAACCTTTTTCGTTTTAATTAATGTGCCTGCGTTCGAGTCCGTTTGTAACGTATTTCTTTCCCAAGGTTCAGTAAACTTGTGTGTTGTTTAAGGGCTCGGTCGTTTTCCATGAAGCCTATTGATTCAAACGATGTTGCTTTTGAACTTGCAGTTGGTATCAGCGCCAGTCTTATGCGCCACTCCATTCACCGAACCAAATATCCTCCAGTCAGTCCAGTTTGTCTAGCAGAAGTTTCTTATACCTTTGGAGAATAATCGTCCATTACCTGTTGTTAATAAGCATTGACCCATCGACATACTAAGTCTAGCACGTAACTCAACCGTCGTGTTTTCGTTAGTCGAATTTCAACAGTTACTGCATTAGATCCCACTTGTGATTAGTGTGCGCCGGTCGATTGCACATTTGGTGTTCCGCACTGGATGGTACAAGCATGCGTGGTTGACACTGTGTTGGGATGAATCCAGGAATAGGTTGAATGGATGGCTTGATGAGCTGCCCGACGGGACATTATAATGAGTATATGAACGTGTTCATCATTTTGGTTAAGCGGCATCTGCCCATTAATTGCTTGTAAGTTGTAATCTGATGTTGTATATAGTCATTGTATTTTCATTGCGGTTCCATGTAATAGCCTAATCCACTTCTTTTTTCACTGCTGTACAAGAATGTGTGCATATTCTTCAACTTGATGTACCGTGCGTCTATTCATCTAGTGAAGCAGTTGCTTTCTCTTTTAAGTCTATGTAAACTCTCCCGAACGGGGTGCTGGTGCCAGGATGGCATGATTGTTTTTTCCTTCAATGACTAGTCCAGATAGCCCTAAAAGGGTCACACCAAACAAAGGAGCCCCTGTGCATTCTGAGTGTTTAATTTGTGCGTGTGTGCGGCACATTAAACATTTCGTAAAGCTTCAGTTTGGATGAAACCCAGACACGAAAATAATGAGGTTAGCGTTTTGGTTTTGATAGTATTTGATCTCAAGGGACGTTTCCTAAAATCTATTTTGATAGAACCACCATCAAAGCGTTTCCAAACAGTTGATGGTAACGAAATCAGTTTCACCTGATTGGTCATTCAATGGGTGATAACCTGGATTAATTTGCTAGTTTTTAGTCATTTCGGCCATTAGGTATTTTCGCTACAAACCGCTAGCTATCTGTATTGCTTTGTGGATCTTTGAGAAGTACATGTTCGCACATGCCTTCAGGAAACGACTGTACACCATTCTATTCATTTAATTAATTGAAAACGTGCGTTATTCAACTGGTCTTTTTTGATGCTACCGTGATCACCAGTTCGTTCTTCCCAGTATTGAAAGGGCATGGTACTTTGGCAAAACGTCTGTGGTTTTCTTCCACCTGAAATTGAATACCCGGGTTTCCGTTTCAGCCGAAAGGGTTGCGTATTTGTGCATCAATAAAATAAAATATATAAATAATTGTTCAGGTGCAACACCTTTTCGGTGCCTTGCTGCCGTGCCACTTGAAGGAAGCACGAGGGCTGGGATACTGTCAGGTTGTCCAAGCCTAGACAAGGGAAGTCGAGATGCAGAGGCCGGGTTCAAAACACGGATCTTCCGGTCGGTAAATTCGCGCTCTAACCACTGAGCCATCTCGTCACATCGCAGCTTCATCGTCCTAAATGTCATCTGAAGGACGTTCACCAAAGTTAATTCAAGTTAATTGATTAGTGTTGTCAACGTGTGGTTGCAACCCATTTGCCCATATATCCGCTTCGGCACGGCGAGCCACGTCTTTTATCCGCCCTATGTGCCGTTTGAAGAACCACAGAAACGAGCCATGCACTACGGTGGTTTTTATGTAGTCTCAATACAGCAAAAGCCCACGATTGCAGGGCACAGAGCAGTCAAGCACAGCCGTTTGTAGCTCATCTGTGGCGGGTACTTTACGATTCCGTCGTGGACTAAACAAAACGGAAACAAAATCAGGAATAAAAATGCATCCCTTGGATGCATTCAAAATTGTACCAACTGCGTTGCATTATACTTCCAGTGACACGCTGCGACTGATTGCATATGAACTGATGGTATTTCTTAGATTATAGTGTGTTTGTGAGCTTAAATGGATTTATTCCTATTATTGGTGAAGCTGTAGTAAAACGACACGGGCTGTAGAGGAGACTGCAACCATAAGTAACACTTGCTATTTCTGCAAAACTCTAATGTGCCCAGAAAAGACCGAAAATTCCGACATATTTGCATGTTCTGAACTCCTCCATAATTCCGTTCTATTTATCGTGTTATTCGTTCAATCCGTTTCGGACCAGTTGTGTCGCAGCAATGTACTGAGCCTTCTGTTGCGCACCCCATTATCCCTTGTTGGTCCGACTGGGTCTGTGTTCAGTTCTTCGAGATAATTTCAGGATTTTCACCTAGGTACGTGCAAGGGCCTCGACGGATATCCGGTAGGCCCATCATTCTGCTGCGATGAGCTGATTCAAGTCCGTAAGATATAAGGCCGAGAAGCTTGAAGACTGCTTTTGACAGCATATTCGAGAGAATGTTGGAGTTACATGAGCCTACTTTAACACCAAAACAACAGGCACAGGTTACCTCTAAGTGGTGAGTTATCCGGAGCTCATTCTACTGGAGAAGCAGGTGTAATTTCTTCTGAAAGTCAGGAATCCTACAAAGCACATGTAGAATAGCAGCTAGACACCTAACTGGTATCAAAGCTGAATGCTTACTAGTATTCATTAGTCATTTCACAAACAAGCCGCCTCTGTTCACGTGAATGCTGTGCTGCTATACTGTTGCCATTTGCATCCCGCTATTCACGTATGTACCTGCACTGAAATCTCCGTGTTGTACGGATGGGGCAGTCATTCCTTGGGCAGCCATTGCTCTAGCACCGCTTGCTAGCGCCTAGAGCTATCGCCCGCGAAGTGTGGCTAAAGTCATTTAATCTGCTAACACGTTTGTATGATGGTGATATTCTCATCCAACTCCGTGTTCTTTGTGTCCGTTCGAAAATGCCACATTCCAGTTGGCGTGTGCGGAATTCCACTCAGCCGTTGCCTGCCGAAAACGACCCGTATAATTTAGGACAAATGGGTTTTACTGCGAGATCCCTTACACAATATTCACACGATGTATGGATGCCACGACGCATTCTGCTATGTGACTAGCAGAATGGGGACGTTCTTAGACACCCCACAATCGCCAGTGTTCTGACGTCTTCGAACCCAACGACTTGAATATCCTCACTATTTTCACACAGATCCCTTAGTAAAACAAACTTTTTTTGTACCAAACAATGGAGGAAAATCGCGAAATTTTGGAGGTTTATTACAGGCATAAGGTGAGGTCTTTGTCGAGGTACGTTTGACATTTATTATTGGAGACAGATTTGAAGCCCACTAGCATATTGATTGCTTTGCATTTATTCATTCGTTTCTTTTCCATTAATCAGATCAAATCATTCAAACGCAAGTACCCTGATCTAACTCGCCGTACGATGGATGCCTACGAACGTTCATGGCTTCAGCAAGAGGGACTTGTGCCTGTTGGTCGGGCCGATTTAGGTTTAACTGCTCTGCGTACGGATGAAGTGATGAAACTATTGCAATCAGATTATCCGGAAGTTCATACTCTCTTGAGTGACTTATTTCGTCGACGACGGTTTCAGAAGGCAGCCGAAATACAGAAACGCCAATACGAGGTAAGATGCTTAGTTGGACACAGTTACTCACACAAAAAAAGTAAGCACACCCCCGGGTTACTCAAGGTATGCCAACCTCTCGTGTATTATCTCTATTGAAAGGCGACCAAAGGAAAATAAAGGCTAGTTTTCTCCACCCATGTTTTCGATTTCTCCTTTGGGAATAAATTGTGACTCACTCCCATTTGTATTGTGTTTTTGTGCCGGATGCTTGCTTGCAGTACCCCAGCAGCCGATTACACAAGGTGCTTGGCCTTTGATAACTAGCTGCCTTTGGTACTTCTATATCAAGGTAGGTCGACGATATATCGAAAGTACTGCTCCTGAAGAGCCTTCGAAATGTCACTGAACAGTCCCTCATCTAGCCATCTGTATTGACCTTCTTCTAGCCCCCCCTTAGTTCTGTCATTCAGTGATCGACATCTCACTGAACTATGGATGATTTCTTTGGTTTGAAAGTGGTTCATGTTGAGGTGGTAGCTTGCAGAGTGGTTCTATGTGTACATATTCCTTTTTTGTTCGCCTTTTCTGGAGAGGGAAGTGGCTTTTTTGGAGGTAACCTCACGGGGATTATTTTTTCTTTAGGCCGCAAGAATCGAACGCGGAGAGGCAAGAGCAGAGGCAGCGCGACGGCGTGCTTTGGATTCAGCTGCTGATTACAATCATCGTCTGGTCACTGATCGGTTCACATCGCGGCGATGTTACTGGGATTTACAAACAATGCAAATCCACTTCCCCCAACCGGGTTACAAACTGTTGGAGCATGATAAACATCCGAACGGTGCTTATCCAGTAGCCGTGATTCCTGGTCAGTTTGCTGAACATTACGAGGTATATACTCCTGAGCAGCTGATGCGGCTACCTTTATCGCGTTGTATCTACTCTCAACCAAGCCGGCGACATAAGGCTCCACCTCCACTGCCGACAAACCTTCGGTTCGGCTCACTCCAGCCGCGAGTTGTCCCTCCACAAACCACGGATGTTGGCTCGCATGGAGGAGTGCAGGACAGTTCATTCGTGGACTCCAATGACGTAGAAGATCAACAAAAGCAATCAATGGTCAATGAGTCATCAAACCTCAGTGTCACTGCGTTGAATAAAGAGGTGAAGAAGGATTCTACAGCCGAGTATGTAGCTCTGCGTGGGTCTTATTTTGTTGGTGACGCGTTTGACCTTTTTTTCGTTCTCCCTACATTGTCCTTTTATCTCCTTAACGCAGACGTTTGGCGGTATCCGATAGCACCCCGGTTACGCCAAGTCCAACAAATTCCAACCGCCTGAACAGTCAGTCGAATACACCCAGCAAGCAAAGTGATGGTGTTCAGTCGGCTCAGTGTGTTGTGTGCAAACAGGAGACTAAGACGTACATTCGTTGTTCCGAATGCGGTCACACTGGGCATCCGAAGTGTTTGGACATATCAGAGTCCATGTTGGTTGCTGTTAAAAGGTATGTTTTCCCCGCGGTACACCGCTCGTCCTACTTATTCATACTTTTACGAAGATGTATTTCATCTGCACTCATTATTGTTGCAGGTATCATGAGTGAGTTCGTTCTGTTAGACGTAGCCTTATCACATCTGCTGCTTACAGTTTTGTTTAAAGTATCTGCGTAAGTTATTTCAACAAAATATAACTCAACATTGCGCAACTCGTGCCTGAAGGTGGTATCTTATATTCGGAGTCGTTTTTGGGATGACAAATTGAAATTCCAAACCTATTCTCCCGTAAAAGCGCGAAAGTAGAAGCGATACCCTTGCTGTAGTATTCTTGTCTCATCGACAAGGAGAGTTTCTTTTTGGGAGGGACTGCAAAACCACGAATAGTCACCAACGCATTTTGCATTCATTCAACAGAAAGTCCATCATATACAACTGTTTCCAACGTCCTATATCGGGTTGGAGTTTAATATTTTGATTCATCCCAAGTGGATCTTTAATTTTTGCAATAGCCTTGCACTGATGCCGGTGAGATATGCTAGTACACTAGCTTGACGGGCTTCCGTGAAAGCCTTCAGTTCCATTTACTTGAGTCCTCAGGAATAGCCAACCTGTATGTTTCTTAGAAAGACTCGAGTAAAAACTACAACACATCCGAATGTTTTATAAAACCAGCTAAACAGATTACGATCGTGGTCATCTGTCGGTATAAAGATCATATTGGCGGGAANCGAATGTTTTATAAAACCAGCTAAACAGATTACGATCGTGGTCATCTGTCGGTATAAAGATCATACTTGGCGGGAAGGGGTGACTGCTATACCAAAAGGGTAGATTTCCCTACACATTTGCCTTCTTGTTTTTATATTTTGTGTGCCCATTGTGGTCCAGTTGTCTATGTTGTGACAACCAAGTGAACAGTGAGGTTTCTTTTTACTCACTTGTCTTCCCAATGAGCTTACAACCAATATGTTTTCAAGGGGTCCCGTGCTGAGAACTTCTGATTACTAATATTCCAACTATATTTAGTAGCACATCTACAAATGAACAAATTCAGACGTTTGGCCAGCCCAATTAGAATTGAAAGGCTCTGCTGGACAATTTGAAGGAAACCAACTACCTCATCAGCACTGGGGTGTTCACAGCTATCCTCTCTTTTGAACCGTCGCTCCACTGGCTTTTCGTGAAATATTTTGTCTTGATAACGTTCAAGGCTCGTGTTTTGCTGATATCTGATCAAGCTGGGCTTCTTCTTGTTTTCCAGTGTATGGGAAATTGGATGCTCATCTCATTGTTGTGTGACCTCAGCTGTCAGTTACAAGCACCGAACGTACGGTGCTGCAAAAAAGGGCGACATTGATAAGTAGGGTAGGAGAATGAACATTTCATACCCTCCATAGATATTCAACGTCAACAAGCTACATTTTAGTGTGAAATTCGAATCAACTGGACCTCCAGCTGGTGAGTCATAGTCATACCTCATTTTGAGAGGAAGTCCATGTCAAAACAGCTTATTCCAAGTAGTAATAACCGTTTTTAAGGTAGATATAGCTTGTGTAGTATGTCTGTGGATGCGGTCGATAGTCTGAAGTTATGAGATCGCGGGGGCGAGATGGACCAAACGTTATGAGATCGCGGGGGCTAGATGGACCAAACGGTTAGAATGCGAGTTTACTGACCGGAAGGTCTGTGGTTCGAACCCGACCTCTGCTTCTCAATTTCCCCTGTCTAGGCTTGGGCAACCGGGCAGATTGCCACTGCTGCCGTCCAACCTTACCTGACCCACACGCCATTATTTCCTGCGACACACTTTATCAAATTGTCTATCCAGTCAGAAAGTACGGCGCAGCGCATGCAGAGTTTTGAGTGGATAAGTTCTGAAAAAAGATGTGATAATGATGTCATAGGTCAGTGTGTGTGTATTTGCTGTAAACCTGGAAATGAGCAGCTTCGTGGTGGTGCCTGGGTCACCGTGCCACTGTACAGCATGCAAGCGGAAAAACAGTCTCTCCATAAGTGGGAGCGGCAATGTGACCCTCCATTTTTTCCGAGCACATGAAATCTCAGTTGATAGGTAATGGATACAGCCGTATACAATATATACGTGCAGTGATCCCTCTCTCTAGGTGCCACCCGTGTGACCCGGTCAAAGTGGTCCCTTTGAGAGGTTCCTGTTCGGTCTGACCATCTAACTCCACAGCTTCTTATGACTGCCGGGTGAATTTCAAGTCTTACTCAATTTCTTTATTATTTGCTGTATCTCACGTTACATACATACCGTAACACAATGTATTATCTTGACATAGCGCTATTTTTTAGGCTGCTGAAAGCTCTTTCACGTCTCACTACCGGTTTCGCCCTTGAACCTCATTAGGTAGGCAGCTAGTTCCCGAGTTTCCCTCGACCATATGTTCTATTTAAACAACACATTACACGCAGTCGTACACTCATCCGCCAATCAAGTTGGCGTTAACGGGATACTCAACTGAATTCCAGCCGGATCTCTCATTTGTGTTATTCTCCAACCGGATATGTTGCCCAGAGAGGCCTCAAGTTGCGGAACACGGTGGGCGGCTACTGTAATGGGCCAACTGGAGTCACACCACCATAAAAGAATGACCAGCACTCATAGAACAACTACCAGTAAAATGAAGTAAAGTTCTTGGCTTATGTGCTGTATTTTACTGGAATAAAGGAGTTCATAGACGGCCTTTGCCCGGAAGTCTTCTTTACTAGGCAGTTCATCATATGGAGAAAATGTTGTGAATCTGAAAGCGCTCCTCATGTGGGACTGAGCCTTACCTGCTGGAATTTTGTTGGGTGGATGGTGAAGTGGAATTCACCAGGTATCCCTGTTTTCTGCCCTCAGTACGTACTTCAAGTGTTGTACGTTTCCAAATTTTTCAGAATATCACTACGCTTATCGATTTGTAAATGCCATTCATGTGGGGTTCAGACAAGCTTACTAATCTAGCGGGTTATTAAAGCAACAATACTGGTGAAAATGGACCAGTAAACCCGTGTCAATGTTCAATGGAATCTTCTTTGTGATGTTTTGTGTTCCGGGCAAGTGAGGAGATTGTTTTCGGGTTTGAAAATCTTTCCCCCAAAATTTAGAGCTATTTTTACGACCCATCTCAATCATTGCTGCATTATAAGTGTATTAATTGCCTGTTTTATGAGTCGGCTACTTCCTCCTTGCGCAGGTTAGTTTTTTGACTTGAACTTGCCTATCGAAGCATCTGGGTTCGATATCTTTGTCTACATGACAACGAAGTGAGCCAAGGGGCGTATGGTGCACTGGTTTGACCAATACTTCATAATGCCTGTATTCTCCGTGTGACCGTCTGATTGAGCTGGGAACGACCAGCTGAGTTTTTCCGCACATGTCAGTTGATGAGCTCTAAACGATCTAACTAAAATTTGGATGCTCTCATCACTTTTCGCCACCTCGGATAACCAGCTTTCCAACACCAGGTTGACTGCCCTTTGGACAACTCTGCTGTCGTCCTCAACAAAATTAAACTTAACTTAACTTGTATCATCATAAGCTGCTGACCGAAATCCAAATCGCGAGCTATACGTTCCCCGAGGCCGAAAGACAGTAATAATCAAGGGTTTGATATTGTGATGAGGAACTAAAGCACTCAGCATCCGTAACTGATCATTTGATTTATAAAGTATTTTTTTTGTTATGATGGCTTTCTATCTTACAATGAATTCGGTTGGTGTTACCTCTTAATCATCCGAATGGCAGAATTCGAAGTGAACTCACATACCGTAAGGCGTAAAACTTCTGTCTCATGTCACTTGTGTTCATTGTTCGCTTGGTTCTTTCGATGAAACCATCAAGATGGGAAGAGCAACAGGTAAATAGTTAATCTTTGACTTGCATCACGGGTTCTAGCAGTAAGCCGTACACAAACTAGACTTACCGGACAAGTCAACTCAGCCATATAGGAAAATCATACACGAACTGCTTTTCCTATTTGCTAGAAAAAGGAGCTGTGGATCCACCGAAAGACAACATTCAATTGGTCGTTGCCGCACGCAAATTGACAAATTAAAAGGGATAGCACAGCCTTTTGGGAAACTCCGGGACCGTGCCTTCCTGACGAGCTTCGAGAATTGCGAAACCAATTGTGGGCTGTCGAAGAGTGTAGTGTTCCTTCAACCGAAAGATCACAATGAATAGTTGTTTCGAATTGGGGACTCTTGTGCCAGGGAGTCATCGTAGAATCGGAATGTTGAGATGTATCACATATCGTCCATTGGTGTTTTGAACTCAGAGTTAGTGGGACGAAAAATACGGACTTCATTATTTCTTTTAATATTCGGGTAGATATGTGGTGCGTTAGGTTGGAAATGACCCAACGTCCTGGCAAACTTCGGTTTAGTCGTCGAATTTCCTCTTCACATATATGGTGCTTCCTCCAGGAATTTTTGTCCTATATCGTTAGCTAGCACTGCGTTCAACACAGAGTATCGTAATTTCTTTCAATGGACAATGCTCTAGCTACACTGTTTCATCTCTTTTCAGCTACCAATGGTCCTGTATGGAGTGCAAGCGTTGTGTGGAGTGTTCTGATTCTGGCCACGAAGATCAGATGATGTTTTGCGATCGATGTGACCGTGGATACCATGCATTCTGTGTCGGGCTTGAAGACATCCCAGACGGTCGTTGGGAATGTCCATTGTGTACGCCGGAATCTAAGAGTGAAACCCCCACAAGGAAGAGGAGTAACAACAGTCGCAAAGGTCGACGTGGTTCTACGGCCTCCCGGACTAAAGCTGAATCAGCCAGTAAAAGGCCCCGTAAGTACAGGAGACGTTCCGATACTCCCTCTGCCACAGATGATGAAGCGGAGGCGAAACCGAAGCCAAAACGAAAGGCTCGTAAAAAGAAAGAAGAGTTATCAGATGTCAGTACGGCGGAAGATACGCCACCGAATCAGACTGCGCTTCCAAACTCGTCTGAGGCCGCTCAGTCACAAGCAAGTGAGAAAAATACCGAATCTACCCCAAAGCGCAAGCGTGGTCGTCCTAGGTTAACTGATGTGGATCCTCGGGTTGGTGGCCGAAAACCTCGACCGCGTCCGCCGAAAAAGTTGAAACTTGATCCTTCATCTTGCGAACATGAGTCAGGCTCGTCGCCACAGCTCCCATCTTCCTCTGGACTAGATCAGGTTGAAGATAGTGTGCCACCCCCGGTTAATGCTTCCGTGACTCCAGAACACATGGTTGATTCCTTATCGAGCGCGGACAGTCAGACGAAACTGCCTGAAGACTCACAGGTATCCTCTGACAACATAAAGGAGGCACCTTCTCCATCCCGTGAGAATCTCACATGTCCTGAATCGGGTGGTGAAGGGAATCCCGTTGAAGTCAACGAATGATGTGGTTGTTGTCCGCCTTCTCTTTCCGTTGTTCGCTTTCGATTACTCGCATTTTGTCGCAACTTTTATCCTGTTGTTTTTTGTACAGAATTGTCTTAATCAGCTTCTCGGTGCATTTACCATTGTATTGTATTTACTTTATATCGGCTTCTGTGAAAAGTCAGCGGTGATTTGGTCACCAGGTTTCCATGGCTATTTACACCAGTAACTGTACGACCGGACACCCAAGACCGTACTAGGAATAAATAAGCGTTCCGTCAATTTTTGAGCGTAGTTTGGTTGCTGCAATACCTACACTAAACGTTGTAGGTCAAAATTACGAGCTGCTGATCAACCAGTGTCCAAAAACAGATCAACTTACGAAAGATGTTGAACCAAATGCGAGCTAGTTGTATGGTCAGATGCTTTCAGGTCATATCGATCGCGGTTACTAAGTTGCTTATGTCGCGTTGTGCCTTATGAGGGGGATAAATCTTTTTGACATGCTCTCCGTATGTATTCTGTATTCCCTGGCCCATATATAGCACAACACTTTTCAACCAGCTAAGGGTTTGCAGCCGAACCACAATGTTACTTTTAGCTCACCGGTTTTAGTTTCGTGCTAGCCAGTCCCAATCATCATATTATTGTCAGCTGTACTTGTCCGCGCACTTGTCGTACAGTGGTTTTAGCTGTCACAGTTTCGTTCACCGATGATTTAGGGAGGTGGGGTAGGTAGCTGCGCATTGGAGGCGGGAGCTGATAAGTTGGTGCGCAAATACAGCACTGTGAAGTGGGGGGATTGGGAAGGGAGCTATGCATTGTAGGCAATAGCTCGGATGCACAAGCGCCATTGAGAGCGCGACTGGGTCATGTCTGACAATGTCTCTAACCGTTGATGTACCCCGTCTCGGGGTCCCCATCCGGGAAGACGTCAACTACCAGCGCAGCTGAATTTGCTGGTAATGGCTTTCATACTTGGCTGCCTCTGGCTCTCTTCCACCCTCCATGTGGCTGTGCGAAAAGTGCCCTTCGGGGAAGTCAGTCGACTGGCATACGCAGCATGTAGCCAAGCCAGCGCAACCTATGCAGCGTGATCAGTTCATCTTTCGAGAGTGAGTTATTCCTTCCGAATGCCATTCGACTTCAGCATTGCTTATCTGGTTTTCCCACCAGATTCGGGCAATGCTCCGAAGACATCGATAGTCGAACACTGAAAATCCTTGACGTCCTCGGCCCGCAGCGGCGAGATTCCCGACCCGTATAGTAATATGGAGCGCACCGCAGCATTGTAAACTCGATCCTTGATGGATAAGCCGATGTCACGCCTGAGCCACAGGTGACGCAGTTTCTCAAAAGCTGCTCTGGCCTTCCAAATCCTGATAGAAATATAATCTTTCGCGAGACCACCGGGATTGATACAGCTGCCCAGGTAACAAACTTGTCCATCTATCTGCCAGGTGTCGCAGAAAATATCTGGTTGAGGGTTGAACGTTGATCCGCATGCACTCTTAAGGAAATGGGTGTTAAGTATGTTCGAGGTCGCAGGTTTAGTTTCCACTTCGACAAAAAGGCGATCGATTGTATCGATAACGCGCTCCCTTAATCTGTGTATTTTTATTGAGATTTATTTGGGAGGTCGTACCAGGAATAAAATCCAGCCTGCAAAGTGGGGTTTTTGTCATTCGAGAATTTCCTGCACCTTACAGATGCTCAGACAATCGGTAATATCAGCACCGCTTTCGATAAACTTTCGTTTAGTTGTGAGTTCCTGAAGCCCTATTTTTTTCCTCGGTGAACTTTTCGACTATCTGTGGTGCTAGTGCTTTAACTCAACTTGTCTGGAGATTTTCGCACCCTGAGGTAACTGATTTACAAGAATACAATGATAGGATACTTCGATGTGCGTTATAAAGAAGTTGGTCCGAAATATCCATTAACAAATTCTTTACACACTAGCGATACGCGAGGACTGACGGGGGTTGGTTTGACTGGGAAGCGCACCAACTAAGGGATCACGGAATTACCGTAAATGAAAATTTAGACGGGTAAAAGTTTGCGTTTCGAATGAATACATGAAACAGTCGACCCTATTAAGAGACTGGTGGGGAGCGTGAACAAGGTTGGAAAGTACCTGTTTTATAAAGTTGGAACAAGCATCAAAATGCCTACCTACTTCGAAGTCAACGAAGACGTTCCTTGGGATTCCGCTGGAAGGTGTTTTAGCAAACTGGCACTTGGGGGGTAACCTTTCTCAATTTTTGTGAAGAGAACAGGGGAAGAGAATACAACCGTCAACAAACTTATGAATAACCTTGAGTAGAACATTCTCGTAGCATAAGACGCTGGACAGCGAACTCCACTACGCTCTGCTGCCAGTTATATCTGTCAGCCCGCTGGAGACTGCTCACATCCGCTTCTTATAGCCATTTTAGCAGGATACCCCGCAGTCCATTGGTTGTCCCGCAACCTCACGCTGGTATTCATAATCCTTTCATTAATCTAATCCATTCATTTTTCCGGGTAAGATTCTCTTCTCTGGAAAGTTGACACTTGCTCCATATAGTTTTGTGAATAGCAGTTACTTGATACGTACAGGAGTTTGAGGTCAATTCACTGAATGTATTGTCGAATATATTGCGCCGGATGTACGGTTTATTTGATTTGATACATGAATGCGTCTGATTCAAGCATAACCTCCTATCAACTGCGAATGTAATATCGGCAAGCTGTCGGCCCGAGGAAAAAGACAAATAAATTTTAAAAAATTTACTCTTCAGAACATGGTAGACGTCAAGTCTATGGCTAGATAGGTTTGAGAAGACTAATCATTACAGGAACATTTTGGGTGTGGGAGGCCAATGGTAGACCACCGTAGAGGTGACGTACGTGTAAACCTCAATGAGGGGGTATCCACTGTTCATCTTTGAGTGCGGTCTGGTGCGTAGACTGAATTGCTCACGATCGACAACACAGTAGTTTGGCTTCTCATCATTTTAGACTGATCACAGCTAAGCAATATAATAAGACGCCCGTGTCTGAGGGGAACTCGGACATGAATACTGTGCCACAGCTATGATACGAGCGGATGCATGGGTTGCTTGATAGCAACACCGTTCACAAAGTCAATTTCTTCAGCCGGTGATGTCTCGTTTTACTTAATGTGATCAACACCACTCGGTATATGAACTTAATTCCGAGGGATGTTCTATATGGAGATCGACTGTATAGATAAAGATGATCGGGTATTCCCCGCTGAATTTTTCCTTTTCGAATTAGGAATAAGAAATCAGGACCATTTGTAACCCGATGGCGCCTTGGGACTAGTGCCCTGTAGGCTATCCGAGTCTCACAAGATGGCGCACAAGGTCTCGCCGCTACTTGCTCAAGGTTTTGTACGCTCGCGCCATTTTGACAGATTCGGCTGTAGAATCAAATGACTGTTCGAGTGCTTGGGGCTTCGTAGTGATAATTTCGTTGAAGCGGCTATCTTCCAACCATAAGGTTACAAGTCATCAGTGGATTTGATTACGGTAAGAGGAGTAGAGCAGTGGTTTTATTTTTTCTACCGGAGTTTGCTTTATATATTTCACTAGCTCTTTGTGACAGCGACTTCAAATAAAAATGGGTTAGTCTGTTGTCCCTTGTCAAATCAACGTTGGATTGACCAGGATAGGGTCCGTCTTGCTCTGAACATTTTGGCCGGCTACGACCACATGGCTGAAAAGCAAATTCTCAATTCAATTAAATCAGCAGATGTGGCCCGACACAAGAAATGGAAAGGATGAAGTTATATAATATCGTCTTGACACAGCCACCTCACAAACCGGACGCTGAGAAATTCTCTGGGTGTTTACGGCGAATCAATTGGAGTTATCACAACTTTGCTGCTACAAGACTATTCAGGTATTGTGCATTCATTGGTGGAAACCCGCTAATTCCCTCCTTTGTTCCATGTGCACAACTGTCCCTCTCAAATCAGTTGGTCGTAAGCAGATATTAAATGTATCTACAAAAATTCCTGGTGAATCTTGCTGACCAAACGGTTTCGTGGCCACGGCAAACAACTGACCGCATTTTAGGTGTGAATAGGATACGACCCACGAAATGGGAGTTCCCGACATTTTACTCTGGAAGCTTTTGTGCCAACGAACAAGCTGTACCTTACCGCATCTCAGAACTGTTTTCAAAATTTCCGTGAGACGCGTGGCAAAATTTCTTTCCGGTGAAAGAAATCTCCAATTTCGTATTAGGGCAGTAAAATCGAACAGAACCATGGCTCGTCGTAATGCAATAGCACAGGCTGGACGAGATCATAACCAAACTTGCAATCTGGCATAGGATAGGGTAACAGCGAGTTTCACCTTACTTGATAGCTGCGATGCATGCATGGAAGCGAGGAAGGTGAGTTGTCATTGGTATCTTGCAAATGAGTGACCATTTATTCTTCATGCGGTTTCGGAACATCACAAACTGCTTCTCACGGAGGATAGGTTCGATCAGTGTTCTCCTTCTGTCTGCATATTTGCTATCTGATCACACTTGGGCCGAGTAGTGCCGCTGATTTCCGAACGAGCTGTGTCTTGGCCTTTTAATGATGCAAGTCGGCTTTCCGAATACTTCTAACACAGAATGTGCGCAGCTTGTTCCGGCAATCAGTCACTATACTCAAAGATTTCGTCTCCATACACGGTGACATTTTTGAACCCCTTCGATAAACGGAGCCTTGGACATTGGAATGTGTCCGGTGATCCTGCGAATGAAATGGCACCCTCCTTATTTGCTATTGGATGTTCCCAAATGCTAACGCCTTTTTCCTGAGTTGGTGACAAATTGTCACTAACCAGGGCACAAGCCAAACACAGTGAACTATCGGCAGTTCCGGGGCGAATCAAAAGTTCATGCGTCTGAGAGGGTCTGATTTCGGGTCAACTTATTCGAACGGCGTAAACCAACACAAAATCGATGATTTTCCGTCACTTTCTCAAATAATACCAACGGCAATCCATATGTGTACTACTAGCTTCATCTATTATACCAACTGCAAGCGCATCTTGTGCCTGTCTGTGGACCTGATATTAAAGGTAGATTGGTACCTGAAGCAGGTAGTATGATCGAAATCGCCCGGGTGACATGGGGATTCGTCACTCGATTCATGGGAAAAACCAGAAGAGTATTCCTCACTAAGGTCCCAAACTGCAAGCGCATCTTGTGCCTGTCTGTGGACCTGATATTAAAGGTAGATTGGTACCTGAAGCAGGTAGTATGATCGAAATCGCCCGGGTGACATGGGGATTCGTCACTCGATTCATGGGAAAAACCAGAAGAGTATTCCTCACTCTGAAAGGTCCCAACTGCACTAGCGGAATACTGAAAGAGAGAAGGTTCATCCGCAATAACAACACAGTAATCTTGAAAGTTGACCATGCTGATTAGCAGGTTCCTGCTTGCAGCGGCATCCATTCTGCCATGGTTGTAACGCTTACCGGTGTGAATGCGTTATCTCTTCCTGTCTTTAAGTTGATCGGTTCTTCTGTCAGCTGGTACATCTCTATTCGCACATTCTCCATCGATGGCTTGTTCTGCTATCCCTGCGGTTTTAATCTAATTAACGACATCTCCCGTGCTTCTTTTATACCAGAGAGGCCAGTTGTTCCCGCCGCCCACAGCTGAGAGCTAAGTACTGGTGACAAGCAATCGGCGAACTGGTTTAACAACAGCTGCTAATACTACACAATATCCATTTATCTCTCCCACATTCGAAACTGGAATCCTTGGACTGTTCCATGGCTAGGGGGTCCAGCGTCACGTATATGGCTCCCTCTGCGGCATCCATGGCGACCTCTGTTCATACCTTAGAGATAGTCTTCAAAGCCATTACTAGCTGAATTGTACTCCACCCCCAGCACGTCACTCAAGTCCTCTTTGGGGCTGGAACGTTACAATCCCCGAAAGGCCACGCCCGTGTTGCTCTTACCCTTTCTCGGTGGCCACACGAAGCACAAGGGAAAAGTGATTGCAAAAGAGATTGTTTATCTAGAAACACGAGAAAAGCCCGAATCAAAACCTGGAAATGAAATTCAACGACCCATCTGTTTGAAAATTCAGGGACTGTGTGTTTCTAGACTCATTCCCCCGACGTTCCCGGAAGCTGTTTTACTGGCTGACATTAACGAGCAACCTATTCGAATAAACTAGTAATTTATAATTCAATTTTTGGTTAGCTGCAGGGTAGTGTTTCAAATTTCAAACAGATGTTATCCGCAGTTTCAATGATTGTTGTTTCATTTAGCGTGTAGCCAACTATGGAAAACCAAATGGCCCTACCATGCATTATCTAGAGGTGCATAGATTCAAATAGTACCTCAAAGTCCTGACAAACTTACCTTCTGATTGGTGAGAATCACTTGGTTAGCCTATCCGTTTGCTACGCTGCGCCATGTACTTCTTAAATCTTTGATAGCTCTAAGATGAGCTAGGGAAACCGAATCTTTTATGTTTTAATAGCAATATCCATCGCGTTGCGAATCCATTTTTTTCTACTGAAATCCATGAGATCTGAACCGCAGCTATCGTCTGCTGCGAATTTATCGAACCGGTGTCGATGCTGCCAAAATGGGGATATGAAGTATCCACGGAAAACGTACTTTGTCAAAAGTGTGTGGACAGTTCAAACAAGTTGGCAGTTTTGGCCTTTCAACCAGTCTGCGTGACTGCCCAATCGTGATCGCGTACCACACTGCTAGATATCGATCTGAATTTTGAATGTGCAGTTTGCACGCCATTTGACCACCATACCCTAAACCGTTATCATGTTATCCTTATTGTTGTCCACGATTTCATTCTATCTCTATTTCGGAGTGCTAAATGCCCAACGATCAGATTTATATGTCAAACTGGAATCATGCAAAGTTGACGTAAGGCCTGGAAATTGGTGTGAATGGGGACCATGGGGTGCATGTGTTCGATCAAGCTGTACTCGAACACGTCGACGCCTGTGTGATTGCCCGACGCCAGCGTCTTGGCAAACGGACGGAGAATGTATCGCCACGCGTCCGCAGAATGATTACGTAAACGAGTCGGTGAGTGCCCAGTTAGTTCTCTCTGTCAACTACAAACACAATTCTACTCATCATCTTGATAAACTATATTCCAGGAGTACGTATCCCAAGTCACCACTGTCTAACTTATTAAAAAATATGCTTCCGAATTATAGTTCCGGTAAAACATCCCGTTTATGGAGCAAAATGCGATAGGACTTTGTCCCTGTTAAAACCATGTTGATTTCAAATGGCGCTCGTTCCACTTTTCTGCCGACCAGCGTATGAAACTTAGCCATAACAAATGATAATTCTGCTCGTAAAGACTACGAGAGAGATTGTGTATATAGCTCCAGCTGTTTCAAACTAAACACTATAGTCACATCAGAGGATGGGTATTCGAACTGTGGTGACTTTAAACACACTGCCGTTTCGGCCCCGTGTAAATTCACCTTGTCTGTTAGGCTGAGGCACAAACAGTCGTTTGTTAGGTACTTGGTGACGTCAGATAACCGGTGCTTCTATCGTGTTTATCCATTTCTGTCCCATTATGAACCGACAAATTTTCGTCCTTCCTACATCTCAATTAATCAGCAGCCAGATGCCACAGTGACCGGTGCCACCGCATAAGGATTTTTGGTGTGGCTGGGAAACCCAACAGCTCCGAATCTAGGTCACGTGTCAAGTGAATCAGATGGTGACCGTAAAAGTCTCGATGTCAACGAACTAGGCGTTTGGTTGTGTAATGGAATATTCAGCCCCATAAACTGTGATTCAAGGTGTGTCAAAGCAGCGACTATCGAGAACGGTGCTGTTCTTCAAGCCTATCCGGAATGGTGTAGAATTCGAAGTGAAAATGTTGTAGAGAAGGAAGGAATAAAAGATAGGGATGAAGCTGATTATGTAATCTTGGAGTGCCCTTAGTGAGACCCGACTTACAGAATTAGGTCTCTGTGTGACTCACTTTGCTTGGCTAGATTTATTTCAGGATGTTATCATTGATCGATTCCAATAAAACTTGGACTGTCTGTTTCAATCGAACTTATCTCGATGACTGTTTAGAGGCCTGCGCTGTTTGGTCACTAACCGGAAGGTCACGGGCTTGAATTCCCCAGCGATTCGTCAGAATCCCGGTGCCCGTGATTCTTAACATGATTGAAGCAGCTGTACAGTGCCTCTAAGTCTTTTCGATCACAGAATGACTTGACATGCAAGCTGCAGTTCAAAATCTCAAGCTTGTCGTTTGCTTCACTTATGGTCAATTAGGCTAGGTGAGAGAGGGCTTAATATTCAGGCAAGGAGCTACATTTATTTGCATTCTGAGCTACTCCCAGGCTTTGATACAGTACTTCATGAAATGCTTCCTATTGTTCTATTGTATTATTTCCTTTTTTCGCCCAGAGGTTGATAAGGCAAACGCGCTACATCCGCCACACCGTCAGCAAAGAACCATGTGAGATTCCTGTATTTTTCAAAGGACGATACTTTCCCGACTGCATACCACAGTAAGTTATGGTGGTTTGATTAGGAAGAGGAGGTCCAGTCTGTGCCCAAATACTGGCCAGTAAGGCATTTCTTGCAAGGTATCTTTCCTGGAAACAAACTACTGATGAGATTATCGAAAACCTTTTGGTACACGATCGGTTTTGCCCTTGTTCCGGCTAATCAGGTGGGCGCAATTCCCTAGTTTCCATCAACCTGATGAACACAAACTGTAAGAAATTCTTGAGCTACCTCCGTTCTCAACCAGGTGAGTGTTTCATCAAGAAAGTACACTGCGATATCGTATCAGATGAAACATTGATCTGTGTTAGTGCAACAGATTCAGATAAAGAATTTTATAAGGTGGATTTTGGATGGTATTCAGCTGAATCTTCCGATAACCCTAGTGTGCAAATTGGTTTATTTTGCGTTAAACGCTTTTGTTTATTTCCTTTTCGACGTGTAGTTTAAGTCTGCCCCCTAAGCTTCGTAAGTAAGCAAGATTTATTGATGCTTTGATTCACTCACATGTAGAAGTCTTGTAGGGGATGTAGGTTCGTGGTCTAATCGGAATAACTGGCCGAGGATTCTCTACAGAGCGAAAGCATCATACAGTGGAACTCGGAGACACGATATGGATAAATATAATTAGGCTCTAAATGAGCGTTATAAAACTAAAAGTAAACCTTGAAATTGCAGCTCCTCGCTAGATTCAAGAAATGGATCAAAGATGAAATGGTTGAACAGTCATGATTCCTTACTGTCCCAAATTTTCTGAGTGGAACTTTAGATTGAAAATGTGAAGAATGTACTTTATTGTATTCGTCAGTATTTGTAGTTCCATCAGGCAGACATTCGGCAAGGAATATGGTGGGAATCCTCTTAATACAATCTTCCAATTATGCTGTAGTTCAGACTGGGTGACGCGAGATCCAGCTAGCCGACCAACGAAAGAGCATATTCGTTGCGACATTCCTTCTTAGTCTCGAAGACTTGTGATGGCTGACTGATTTCAATGCTTAGGATAGCTCCTGGGTTGGTCTTCTATGGTTGAGACTTTCAGACACTTCAAGCTAACGTGAGCAGTCTTTATTAGTGAGATGTCTCATTGCCTTGAAATCCCGAGCTACTAACTGACAATGCTTGGTACAATCTTTAGAAAAATGGCATCACATGTATGAACTCCGATGTTTTTTGGCGCAAGAGAGCAGCACCTCAGATAAAAACTGCAGATGAAACGTACTTGCAGAACCGTTTTTGAGCAAGGAATGAACATGCGTTAAGTTCTGACGTCGCCGGTTATTTCTTGTGTTTCAGTTAGCAGAACGATCTATGCACAGCATAACCGAACGGAATCACATACCACTCACTGCTTAGGCATGCTCTAGGTACGATGAACTCAAAACAAACGCATGCAAGGACAATTCTCAACGACTGTGAATGAGTGGACCACTGACCCCAACATAGAAGCAGATATAGAAAGGTATGTGGTCCAGAGGAAAGCTCATGACAGGAAGATAGTTAAAACAAGGTCTTCACTTTCTGAACTCATCCAGAACCTAATAAAATGGAACTTGATATCTGACTGAGTCCGGTTTTTTCATTATATTTAAAATTACCCACAGCTCCGTATTTTTCAAACAGCGTGCACCATCATCGTCATCAGCATCATCGACAACATGACATAAGTTTTCAACACCGATGCTTCACTGTCGTACAACCATGATCTATTTGAAAGCCTTATTGTAAAGAAAAGAGTAAAGGTAGACGGGGAAGAGACTTAGTGCTAGCTTATCACAATCATTCCGAGGTGCCTATACCTCCAGACATTCACTCAGGCAGTTTGGATAGAAACTGACAACGCCACTGACATCGGTTGGCAGCCACATCTTGTAGTGTCTCCAACCAGGCACAGTGAGGATCACCTGGTTCCCATCCTGGAAAGTGAGTAGCACCGACACACCCAAGCGTTTCGGTTTGGACCACAACAGTGTATCACATAAGATGTTCAGTAGCTCTCTTTTGCGGCGACCAAGCCGTATTGATGTCAATGAGAATTGTTGATAAGCATTTTCATTGTTACTGAAATACACCCATTCATATAGGAACAAACTTGTGCGATTCAATCAAGCCAAATTTACTCCCTTCTAACAAAAAAAACTGGCGAAAGGCAATCAGGATCGACGAAACTGTCTAACTGTTATGACGTCTCTTAGGTGCATGGCTGTCTTGTAGCCCCGGGGATGGAATACTGTCACTTCTTATAAGCCAATGACACTAAATATTTTTGGGATGGACTGAATTCCCAAATATCCAGACCGGAAACCCACCGTGTCACAATATGGAAGAAAGTACTTGTATGGATTGATTTTTCATGATTCAACCATACCGTCATCCGAACACAAAAAGAAAGAGCAAAACCGTGTTCTTCTGAGCCTAATTGGGACACATTACACCTTTAGGAATTCTAGTTATCTTTGTCCGGTTTAAGCTGGTAACTGGCTAGTTTCTCAGAACATACCCATACACCAAGGTGAGGGCATCTAAATACAGTGACATCCTCTCAGACAGCGTGTTGCCGAAAATATTGTGTTTAGAAGAAGGATGAGGACTGAACCAGCCTTACTTTCGTTTCAACTGCGAGTGGTGAAATGCCCCTTAAGAGAGTTGCATCCAAGATGGTAGTGGTCCAGACTCAGAAGTATCTTCTGTGGATACACCAGTCCGTACTGCGAATTAGGGTTTCGGATGTTCAGTCATAACCTGATATAGTTACCATGATGGGTAAGCATTCAAAAGTCGTTTATTTAGACGCATGTACTATCATGAATGTCGACGGGTTAATTGAAGTTTGCGCTTTTGACCAATTTTTCGATAATTCAACGAGTGGCGACAGAACTCATCCATTCCATAAAACTGGCATTGTAAGACGCTTGTGCATTCTTGGGAACGCATCCAATTATGATCAAGATTAGTTTGTTTGAGGAACCAGACAGAGTGTGTCTAATAATATCGCGATTTTGTCCATTCGTGATGGCGAGCCCTATTCGAGAGGAGCACTGTATATTTGCATCTTGTTCCGACAAAATGCAGTTCAACTGGAGTTTCTCAGCTTGAAAAAGTAGAGTCGCGGATGCTTTATTTTCAGTGGAGGTTTTACCCTGTGATGGAAGCCGCAGAGCTGTTTTATCCACAGTGGAAAACATCGAATCTCCCTGGAGTTTTGTAAGAAGTACACTTCTGATGATTCCCAATAAGGGTGAACCAGCCGTGCAGTGCTTCTCGGAGCAGAGTGACCCCACCAACTGGACAAAACCTCCATTGGGGCTTGATTTAACTATAATTCGGGCAATACTTACACAATAGCGCTGGCTAGATGTTCGTAGTTAAAGGGGAAACATTGACGGGTAAATAAAGTCTTCTAGGCCAGATCAAAAGCAACATTCCCTTTTTAATCTGAGGTTAAGCATCCGGGTTAATTTTAAGCACAAGGCTTGTAATTGCCAGATACTTCACGTGATCAATGAATTTTCAGGCAACCCCTCCGACCATCAGCGGACCCCACTCTCACAACTAAATTGTCATATCACTTTCAAGCCCAGGCACATCGACGAAATTTGCCAGTGGCACTTAAAACACCGTTCGCTGGCTGATTAATGAACCGAACCTGATAGAATATAATTTGAAATTCCAATCAACCCATCAACCGTAAAATTTAGGACACCATACCAACCGACAAGACCCTTTAACTGACACTCAACACTGATCTAGTGTGCTCATCTGAAGACGTCTTACCCCGTCTGCCCCAAAACTTTTCCAAATTGGTGGCATGCCCATTCGGCCTGATGGAGCTTTCCTGTAAAAGTCAAAACGTTGCCCACTTGGAAACTACAGACTGTCTACCAACCCCTTCCGAAACTAAGTCAACGACCGGTTACATAGGAAACCACACCTACTTGGGGTTAACTATAACTTCAAAGCGTTTGGTGGGTGCGTGTTCCAGTGGTCAATAGATTGAAGCCGAAGTGACCTTATTTGGATGACAGAGTTTGAGCCAGCACATGTTGAGAGTCATCACAGAAGCATACCCCTTATTCCCTGGGATATTTCCAGCTCATGGAAGTTTTACTTAAATAAATTGATTCGCCGGTGGCATTGCCGTCCAGATGGTAAGTTGAAAATCTGGAACGACTTTGTTAAGACCGATGCTTGACGTTCAGGTCTACAGGATCTCCACGGCCCACGCCACTGGAACCATTACTGAACCGATGCGTGCTGAAACCTTGCGTCCGACCACATGCTTTGACAGCTAATATTCCAACTATCCATTAGGATTTTGTTTCGAAGTAAAACATGCTTTCCCTTCGAATGATTGTGTTCAGTTCCAACAAACTATGTAGACAAAATGTGCACAGGCTTCGAATGCCCTTTGAATTCCTTTGTTTTGTTTGGCCGTATTCAGGGGTTATGTCCTATTTGGTCACATTTTTGTGCATCGGTGAGTTCACATAGACTACTTTATCCAGCTGTAGGTTCGAGCTTAGCCTCTTTAGTGCATCTGAACAGTCCAAGCGTTCGACGGTACACTCAGATACACATTCTTAACACATCGGGCTTCATGTTATGGGAAGTGGAGCACCGGAGTCGGAACTATTGTCCCATAAATGTTCCGTAACGCCGATATATAGTCCTGGGAATTCCCCGGAGCTCACAAGGGGATTATTATACACATGATACAAATGCAATGGAGTTTGCGATGTTTGTTCCGACAATTCTCTCCTCACGCTTGCTTTTCCAGTTCTGAACTAGACGATTACTCCAAGACCATCATTGACCCAAAACACTCAGCATGTATGTCCGACGGAGAACTGAAAGCGTGCGAAAAAGACGCAGCCGGACAGCTTGTCGTGCAAGGCATGCAGGAATTCGATGTGGGCGCTTGCGATGGCTGGGGTACAAATATCCACAGACGTTCAGCCGCAGACCCAGCAAGTCGATTCACTTACGGAGCGGATAGTGAATTGGGTCAACAGTGCACTTTTGGTGCTGAGAGTGAATCGAATCAATGTGTTCAAAACTATTTCTACGGTGTGAACTCAGCCAGCGATTACGGGAAGTAAGTGAATCGTTAAGTTGCCGACTGAAGTGTCTTCTGGGCTATGAAAAAATATATCAAATTATCCAACTACGAGGGAGAATGTTGGTGACCACCGCAAAACGTCAGCCTTCTATTGGAGTTTTGACATTCCTGTGTTGCGGTCAAACTATCAGTCAGTGTATGTTCTAGCAGCAAGATTAAAAATCAAGCAGCTTCGACTACGACCAATCATGGACTCGTAGGATCATAACAACGTGCTGTTGTTATTCTCACTGCACAAACGGTATGTACTAATGTCTCCAAAAATAGGTTCCCCTCCTGAACAGTAGCAAGTCGTATAAGTGAACCCAACGGGTCGGTTAATAATACTTTCCGTCGCAAGGAGTACGATTCATTCCAAGAGAAGCAATCCAGGGAAACAAACGATTTTCTCGCACGATATATTTTCTCCGTCTTGGTAAGGCCATTACAAAAATTCTCCCAATCGGGGTTCTCATATTTATATGACGAGAAAAGTTCGGCCAGCTGTAGGAGTCACGCATAGCTTAGCTTGCTACTTTTACTACCCTCCATGAATTCACTTGAAATTTATCCCCTCTGTAGCTATGTCAACAAAGGGGAAAATCAGAGTGTGATACTTTTGACACACAAGCCTGTCTAGCGCGGTGTTCTTCCTTTTTCGTCATAGCAAATGGATGTGGGGAATACCTGAACGATATCTCTCAATCTAACCTCAACTTCCTTTTATATGGACAGGTAGTTAATTAAAATCACCATATTGTTTATCACAGCCACATGCATAGCAGTAAATCAATAGCAAGGATGAGAAAAGTAGTAAAATAAGTGAACATTTTTCAGAAAAATCGCCATTAGTGACGACATTAGGCAATCGCATATCAGAGGAAGCAAGCAAGTACTGAAAGAGTTGAAAGCTCAGTTTCTCACAGGAACTGACCAATTCACAGAAGCAAAGGACTGTATCCGATCATGGAAGAGCTCGCTAACAACACACAACATTAGACAGCTAAACAAAGATAAATTACCTCGACCATGTCTGAGGTTTCTTCTGAACGTTGCTATTCGCACTAGGGAAGAATATTAACTAAAATGGTTGTCTTTTCTTTTCCAGTTCGGGTGTACAAGAATAGCTGTTTATTCTTCCCAATCCAGTAGAAAGTGCTACAGTACGGGTTCAGAGGTTCAAAAACCCATTTCAAAGGACTCGGTTCAAACAGATCACATGGCACTAACCAACAGTGTTCTCTTATTACGGAGCGGTTTCTTCACCTAGTCGCCCTAATTTTCTATTTGAAGGTACGCACTTCGGCAAACCAATTTGACCCGCGTCGGTGAAATTGGTTGGAGTCATTTGTACATCGGTTGGTCGTAAGCACCAGTTAAATGACAAAGAGCTGACAGCCATCCACATCTCTATTGTCGTTAGGATGGCCGGCACACTCCTACAAATTGCTTTCATACAGAGTATGAAACTTCAGTTGAAAATTTCCAAATCTCACACTACTAACAAAGAGTAGGGCAGAAATTGGTTGGAGTCATTTGTACATCGGTTGGTCGTAAGCACCAGTTAAATGACAAAGAGCTGACAGCCATCCGCATTTCTATTGTCGTTAGGATGGCCGGCACACTCCTACAAATTGCTTTCATACAGAGTATGAAACTTCGGTTGAAAATTTCCAAATCTCACACTACTAACAAAGTGTAAGTAGGGCAGAGGGAGAATAAATTCACAAGATAGTGGTACTCCCATCTGTGATGCCATCACTCGAGAAACCAGTCGTTGCATGACATGTGAATTGCATGAGTGAAGAATGAGTGGCCAAATATCCTGTGTAGATGTGCGTTGACGAAGCTGCTTATAAGCCGCTACTGGCCGGAAACTCTCACGTGAAAAAAATTTGGGGTCGCTATTTATATCCGTTTTCAGTGCCAAACCATGGAGACAGTCGACAAATTCGACCGAAGTTTGTACTAATAAGGTGTATTGCTCGCAAGCCATCGTGGTAATTGAAGGACTGTGTGAGCACACATGCTTCTGTTAATGGCATTTGAACAAACGGTAGAAAACTGTCGTGTATGCATGCGAGAGTTTTGTGACAGTGTTATTCAAACGTTTAATTGATCCATTGTTCCTCATTCAACAGACTAACAAATCTTGCCTACGAGATCGATAATTGTCGTTTCGCTTGCGCCATACGTCGCAACTGCCGAGCCATTGAGTTCATAAAGGGAATTTCGTGTGCCCTAATCCTGGATTCTGTGGGCCTGGCCGATGAGCACTATCTCGGTGTGACTGTTGAGAGCAAACCTGACGCGTGCGACGGAACTGTGGAAGGAACTTACCCGTATGCCAGTGCTGTGGCTCTTCTCGAGAGCAAATATGACGAAAGACCCAAGAGAAGGCTCTGAGAACATGACCCAAAATAACACGAAGATTGGCCTGTCGTTTGCGTCTCACCACTGTTATTTTTTATGTTTTAACAATGAAACTGCGTGGAATTTATATAATCAAATTTTAAGCAACATGCCGGGCCAAAACTAGGTTTCATTGGGTTTTCAGGTTGATCAATGTTGTTGTGAAGCTGTGAAGCACTGGTGTTCAGCATCAGTATCGGCGTCATTGATGATGATGACAAACAGGAAGTAAAGTTTTTCTACCACGAGCAACAATTTTCTGCTAACCCACCAAGAATTTTGCTCATCTCGTTGTACTATTTCAAGACAGGAAAAAGGGCTTTTAAAAGCAGCAAGTGACGTAACTTTTTTCCGGCCAAGTGACGATTTATCTCCTCGCAGTTTTTCAAAAATTTTTGGCAAAAACTTGGATGAATGGAAGCAGTGACGCTTTTATTCTACACTTAGCGAGATTTTGTTGGCGACATTAACCAGCTCAGGGGGTTATATTCCATATGTTCCTGTTCAACAGAGCCTATTGTCGATATTTGCCATGACTGTGCTCGTTTTATTCGCTTAGGGTGGAGAATATCACGATAAACCGCCGAGCATGTAGAGTTAAGTAATAATGGTGACACTGTACACTACAGTCGAGTGAAATATACAGTCTGTGAAAAAAGTCACGGAATTTCGCTATTTAACACGTGTAGAAAGTTTCCTCAAGCGTCTCATTCGTTACGATAATGACATTTTGTACCTTTACTCGATGCATGTGATTTGCGTTGTCCCCTTAGTGGAAGTGACGTTTTCATTTGATACCAAATGAAAAACAACTGTCGGAGATGGATCGAAGCCTCAGGAGTTCAAGCGTCACAGGCGTTTGATTAAAATGGTCGATCGTCAGAAACATTGGGCATTAGGCGTACATTATTGGATAGAAACGTTAGTGGACAAAAGTCGGGCAGATGAGTGGTGCGGTCACCCATTGCATTCCGTAATGCATTGCGCACGAAAGACGTCCAACACGAGACAGATTAATAATTAGATACTTTTGTAACCGACTCACAATAAATATTCTTCAATCCAACAATGGGCTAAATTATACGGACTAATCTTGCTTGCAACGTAGTCTCAGGCTGGGAAATCACAATCAAATTTATCCCGACTAATTGATCTCATCATCACCACTATCTTCGTCGTCATCCTCAGCATCACCGTCACATTTGACTGTAAAAACCACGTACTTGTTGTCCAGTTATTATAGCTGGCACCGCTTCGTTCACCGGTGACTTGGGGAGCTGGGGTAAATAGATTCGCATTGGAGATGCTAGCTGATATAATCGATGTCAATACAGGGGTGTCAGTGAGCATTTCATTGGGGTATCTGGAGGGAACTTATGATTTGAAGGCAACAGCCTGGATGCGTGCACTTCATTGAGGGCGCGAGTGGGCCATATCTGAGAATATTTCGAACCATTGGTTTGTTCTCTCTGGGCAACGACTAGCGTGGCTGAGTTTGGTGGTAACGGCTTCCATCTCACTTTTTGTTCTCCAATGGCTCGTTTGCGCCGCTCGGTCGTTATGATCAAACAGTCTACAGTGACTTCAACAGATCTATCAGGCCACCTATGTAGCCAACCGAATATCTCAAATCGAGTCTGTTCACCTTTTACCCGAACTGTCTTCCCTCTGGTTTTGTCAGTATCCGTGCAAGCCATTTACTGGCAGGTGAATCTGCGGTTACTTCTTTTGTTCCAAGTCAGTGCTTGAATCCTCACCTTCATCATACTCACTGTTATCGTTTTATCAACATCGGCAGTGTCAGTAGCTTCATGATCAACACAGGCAGCGACACTATGTGTTGACACTGATGTTTCACCACCGTGCAGTTTCACCCAATGTTTGAGGCGTGCTCACTGCAAAACTGTACCATCCACTTAAAGCAATTCTGATTATCCCATAGGAAACGGCAAGTAAGTGAACAGCGAATTCGTAGTCCCGTAAGCATGTCTTTGCTAAAAGGGAAGCTGGAAAAATTTGACCGCATAGCAAGTCAGGAAAGCAATTGGAAACATCAGGGAGCATCGGAGCNCATCGGAGCAACCTGTTCATCAGAATGAATTGATGGTACTCCCCTACACGAATGGAAACACTGCAAGATGCATCCGTTATTTGGTATCATATGAGTCCCTGTTGCAAGGTCCTGCCTTAGTTGCCTGGATGGTTGTCTGAAAGTGTATGGACATCGGAATGTTTCTGGGTATGCGAACGCAGAGCATCGTCATTTTCCTAGTTTATTCTTTTTTCCCCAAGGATGCTTTTTCGAACAGGAGCACAGTCAACGGTTATGCGATGATGTTGACCTTGTTGACGCTGGTGACAATGACGTCGATAGCGATGGAGAGTTGTTTTCATCATCCACACGTTTACACCCTTGGACTATGTCTGTTCATTCTCGGACGCACCAAGTTTCTTCGGTGTTTCAAAGCAGATTAGCCGACGAAATGTCCACTTTGCGAGTACAACACCACAATGATTTTACAGGCGCCAATGATCCGCTGGTGAATATATTGAGGCAATTTTACTGCATAGACTAACTTCGACTGGCCGCAGGATTTCGCACATAGGATTTAGTGAATACGTTGACTACGCTGTAAAAACATTCCCGATTTAAAAGAACCAAACTTCATGAATTTTATACTCATATTTTATACTCATCATTCTAAAATGATGGTCCCTTGGAATAAGTAAATACGAAACTTCGGCGAACGTTTTCAACGAATTGCACTCTGATTGTTTTAGACTAGCATTCTTCTCGAAAAGTTTCAATTTAATCTAGGTTATCTTGTCAAAATACAGGCATATATTTTACTAATTTACAGGTACTACAACGGGTAATACAATGGGTAGTAAGACAATAAAAGCATCTGTTGAAGCCTCAGCAGGGAAGATTACACTGGAGTGATGTTACGCAAGTAAATGCACTTTGTTTCTGTCGCTGAATTTTCGGAACACCTACGGGAATCGCTATTCGAGCCGTCTATGTGATGTTCAACGTCAAGCAGAGTTTATCGTTTTGTACAAGATATTTGGCGGTGTCTAATTTCCAACCATACATGGGTCAGACCGCAACTCACGGTGTGGTTGAACATGTGTTAGATGTGTTTAGAACATCAGAAGCGTAGTACCGAACTTTAGCGGGGAATCATTCTAAGAATACAAGTACCTGTGCTGTAATGAAGTCAGTAAATTGTATACTACTGAGAAGTTTCGTAGTTCGAATTCATCCTTGAATTCTCAGTGGAATTTGGCTCGGCTCAGAAAGCCTATCGCTGAGCTTTACCCAGATCGCTTGGCGCCTTCGCAAACCGCTTTTTACGTTCGAAGACACTCGTGCCGACCCTAAAATGAGCTCGCAATCCCATTTTATTTAGAGGCACGCTGTTTGGCAACTCAGAAATATTATTCAAAGCATTTGTCATAAACAGCTTGCGCACAGTAATTTGTAAAACACATCAACCCAAGCAGCACTTATTGCACTGCGTGAATCCTCTTTCTGATGGAGTACTGAAACACCCAACTTTAAGTTTTGCAATACTTTAATTTTTGAACTCAGCACCCTATACCGGTAAGAAGGACTATGCTTAATCATAAGAGCATTGTCTAAAGGCTTGTATATAAGCATAGATGAGTGACGCGGTGGTCCTTCTATGTTTCGCGACCTTTGAAACACAATTCAGAATCTTCGTGACCTCAACATGATGTCGCTCCTGCATCGGCTAGGATCAACAGATGTCAGGATTTGTTTTGATCGCACTATTGATCTCGGGAATATAATATATTAACTGCTTGTAAGTAGCCAGGAAATTCCGCCTTTCTCTCTTATGGTCAATCTTTGTCGAAAATTGTGGAAAATCGTCTGGAGCTCACAATTTGACTTTTCGTTTTTTTCTCACTTTCGAAGAAAAGAAGCATGAAAATGCCAAATCACAGAAGACGTGATGATAATGTGGAGCTAGCGAACAACAAAACTTTATCGCAAATTTCGGAAAAATTTAGTAGCAATCGGTAGGTTTGTTGCTGAGCAACGTTTCGCTTTTGACACAAAGGCTTCGTCAAACTATGACTAGGTTAAAAGGTTGGTCGAGAGTTAAGGCGGAAGAAAAGGCAATCAGCGAAATCAAGCTAAATCTCTCTTAGTTGTCGGCCGAGGGATTTTGTGTGTTAGTGTGGGTGACCAAGTTTTAGGCCGATGGGGAAACCTACATGTGTTTGGGTCCAGCCTAGGGTCTAGTTCTATTGGTTCGGTTCATGTGATGATCCCTGTTAAGCGTCGTTTACATCTTCCATCCATCTGTGTGGATGAGCACTTTCATTAAAAACAAGGTCAACGTCCGTAAAAGCATAGAAATATACTTATTAAGATGACGGATTCAAAAAGTGGAGCACTTAAAACTCAGAACTCAGGTCCTGTGTGTAACCCCCATGAGAAGGGATCTGTTGAGTGAGTCTTACGGTTGATGGCAGAATGCGAATTTTTAGTGTTTAAGATATTTTAGAAATATTCCAACGCTTTTGTCTGCTCATACTGCGTCCATCCACCCTTATTACTGCAGTATCCTTGGTTCCAAGTCCTGGTTACACAGTGAATTTAACATAAGCCAATCCTGTAAAATACATACTAGCAATTTGTCTTAAGCATTTCGGGCATACTTCATTCTGTACATATCAGCCTGCCTGCGGTTGGCCGGCCTGCGAATTCAAACTCACTATGTCACTATGGTTATGAGACAGATTTCTGCATAGTTCTTCACACTCAGCGGACAAATGGATTGCCGTTTGAATCACTAGCACTGACTCCGACCACCTGTCAGCCTTTTTAAGCAGGAGATTAAAGCTGTCGAGTTGGGAAAAAGTTTCCGCCCAAGAGACGGACAGGAAACACTGGTTGACCGCAATTTCAGTCGAACCTTTTGATTTTCTAAGGAAATCATCACTCTTGTGGGGACAACAGAAAACTTAACTTATTTGGGCATCCCCTTTATTTGCAAGAGGAAAAGATTCTGTAATCACTGACAGCAAAAGCTGAGACCGCTTGATGAGTTAACCCTTGACCGTTGAAGCGCCACCAACGAAGAGAATAGAAGAAGCCACGTAATACCGACACTTTTTTTCACAGTTGGCCAAG